CACACAGTGGGGAGAGGGGCAGGGAAGTTTCCGTTTGAACTGGAAATGGGAAGGAAAGGGGTCTGGGGAGGAGGGAAGTACCTAGTCTCTGGGAGGAGGGGGTTAGTAAGGAGAGAGGAGGCAGGGGAGAGCAGATGAGAGGAGATGACCTACTCCTCTCCATCCCCCTGGAGGACCAGAGAGGGAGAATGTGCTGAGTATGAGGCTGTAAGAAGCCATGAGGGAAAATCCCAAGGAAATTAAGGCATCTCCTTCCTTGGGGTCAGTGCAATTTCAGATGTTTCCAACTTCTTCCCCTAACCCTTTCCTCTCCCGTCCTCAAAAGCTGGAGTAAAAGTATAAACCCCAGACCCAGACCACTTGGGTTCAAAATCTGGAACTATCCCATTTTAAAGTTGGGAAGCTGGGGCCCAGAGGGGTGAGTTGACTTTCCTAAGATCAAACGCAGTGCAGAGCCAAGCTCTCCTGCCCCTAATCCAAAACTTAAAATTGTTTCCAGCGAAATTTTTTTTACCTTTTCTAATTTTTTCGCTTTATGAATGCCTACAGGGCTTGGGGCATATGAGTCCTTTGCAAGGACAGGAGAACTCGGGAATGTTCAGTGGCCCCATCCCTCATTCATACAGAGGTTGAATTTAAGGAAAAACCTACTCCTTTTCAGCCCCATGTCTGGCTCTGAACCATAACAGGTGTGTGGCAGTCCCTTTTCTGGCCACATGAGGTCAGCTTTGAGTCGCTCACTGCTTCCAGCATCTAGCCTACACCCTGGCCGGAAGCTCTCCTGGGGAAACTTCAGGAATGGGGAGGACCATGCAGTACCATCTGGAAAGATGGCCAAGGGACTTTGACTGTGGTCAGGGCCCCGACTTTGTTTCCTCAGCTCCAGTCTTCGAGGCTGGGCCCCTCTGATCCTCTTCTCTTTACCTGTTGGTGTTTTCCAGTTCTCTTAGTTGTCCTCCCACTCCCAGCCTCCACCCACTCCAGCCCTGCCCATCTTCAGGAAGCAGCCCCAGTTGCCATGGTGACCAGTTGGTCAGCTGGCTCCTTCTGTGCCCCCTCCCTTCACCCCTCTTTTCCCTGGGCCTTCAAGGAAAAGTAATGTGTGTGAATGGATGGGGGTGGGGGGTGTTTTTCAAAATCTCTTAGGAGCTCTGGGGTTGGCCAAAAGGAGTTGGGCTCTCTTTCACAGCGCCTCCCCCCCCCCCCCCCCCAGAAGGCCTTGGAGGTGGGGGACAGGAGGAAGGGTATAACAACTAACTGTGGAGGGTGAGGTTTTGATCTGGGTTAGGAAAGGTCAGGGTCAGGACCTCTGCTCTGTCTACAGCGAGGACAGAACGAGGTGGAAGGGGATGAAACCAGAAGTGGAAGGGTCAAAGTTAGCTGTGAGGCAGGACTTTCTAAAAAGCATGGGAGGGAGACATGGGAATGAGTCGCCAGGTGAGATTTCTCCTCTGCCACTGGAGGGAAGGAGCACCCCTGCCTCTTCAGGGGCACACCCTTCCCTGTGTGGGCAGGGAGGATGGGCTCACTGACAAGGAGGATCATGCAGGCTGGGTAGTTCTGAAGCAATTGGCTGACAGAGTCACCTCCACCTCGCCAGGGAAGGGAACAGTAGGAAAATGGAGGCAGGACCAGGAGTGGGGGTGAGTGTGTAGAGAGTGGAGGCACTGGCCCTTCTGCCCCAGCGAGTGGTGGGACCACCCCAGAGATCAGTGTGCTTGTCCTCTATCCCCAAAGATCAGATATCCGGGCTTTGCCTCAAGCTAACTGCCTACTCCTAAGTATCCCCACGGACTTTGAATGGGGAAGATCCAGATCCGAGCTCTGTGACTATTACCCTGAGTAAGTCACTCACCTTCCCTCTGCCTCTGTTCCTAAAAGGTAAGCGGGGAAACAGCTGCTATATGTCAAAGACTCCATAGGATTCCACAGTGATTGCACACAGATTGATCATGTTCTGTCATAATGATGGGTTTCCAGGTCCCCCTTCCATTAGACTGTGCTCCTGGAGGGTAGGACATTGTGTGTTTCACTTCTGAAAGGGCGCACAGTAGGTACCTAATACCTGTTTACTGAATGGGTGCATTCAGAAATGAATGGATGTCAGTTTCCTTTCTTCCTGACCCAGGTGTGGCGGGAAAAAGAAGTGTGGGTGGGTGGCATAGGAGGGTAGGCTGCCTGCAGTCACTCAGCCTGGTCTATGGTCTGTGATTTTGCCTCCTACGCCCAGAGAAGGTCAGAGCCTCGGGTCAAATTCCTCACTGCACAGACGAGACGAGGAAACAAAGGCTCAGAGAAGGGAAGGCACTTGCCCAAGGTCATACAACTTGTTAGTGGGAAAGCCAGGATTAAGAATTAGAACTCTGGCCCTGGCTGGTGCTCAGTGGTTAGAGCAACAGCCCATGGATCACAGGGCTGCTGGTTCAATTCCTGGTCAAGGGCAGGTACTTGCCTCCATCCCCACCATGATTGGGGTACATGCATGCAGGAGGTAACCAGTCGATGTGTCTCTCTCACATAGATGTTTCTTTCTCTCCTCTCCCTCCCTTTCACTCTCTCTGAAAAAAACAATGGAGCCCTAACCAGCTTGGCTCAGTGGACAGAGCGTTGGCCTGCGGACTGAAGGGTCCCAGGCTTGATTCCGGTCAAGGGCATGTACCTTGGTCTCGGGCACATCCCCAGTGGGGGGTGTGCAGGAGGCAGCTGATGTTTCTCTCTGATCGATGTTTCTAACTCTATCCCTCTCCCTTCCTCTCTGTAAAAAATCAATAAAATATATATTTTTTAAAAATCAATGGAAAGGATATCCTTGGGTGAGGATTTAAAAAAATTAGAACTCTGGTGTCCTGATCTCCAGCACAGGACAATGTACACACTTCTTTGCTTCTCTGGGGCTGTCTTCTAGGGAAGGAACATGGTCCGTGTAGGCTGGTTCCAGCGTCCTCTCTGCCCTCTGCTAGTCCTTTCTCGGGTGCAGCTCCAAGCCTCTCCCTCTGCCCTGCTCCATCCAGGTTCCGTTGGGTCTGGCTCCTGCCTTATCCTTTAGCACCCAACTGGGAATAAGAATCTTCCCAGGGTTCCAAGACTCACTTTCATAGATCTTCCCAGGATGGTGTGTGTGTGTGTGTGTGTGTGTGTGTGTGTGTGTGTGTGTATGTACACGCGCGCCCCCGAGCATGGTTAGTAAGGCTAGGAGTGGGGAAGGGGTGCGGGGAGCCCCTGTTGCTTCTCCTCTTTTGGGGTGGTTATTCGGTAGGCTTGGGGAAGGCGGAGTTTGGGGGGCTGGGGGCGGGGCTCCTGCGCTGGGAGGAAGAGGGGGGGCGCGCTGGCTCCTGCTC